ATGCATACACACACGCACGCACACGCGCGCACACACACACACACACACACACACACACACACACACACACACACACACACACACACACACACACACACACACACACACACACACACACACACACACACACACACAGTTCCTCTGAGATCAGGACATCCAGTTAAAGGACCCTCCCATCATTCTCTGACCTGATCAGCTGAGGACGATTGGTTCCTCCTCACCGTTCTGCTGACGTTTGGGTTCCCCAGTTTCCAGTTCGTGTCAACCTTGTGTTTTTATTTCAGGCTTTTATTTTCTTAAATTTGCTCAGGATGTTTTCCTACCAGATTGTTCATCTTTTTTCTTTTCACGGGGCTTTTTAAGATCTCCTCACAGTTCAGCTCCTGTCTGGCCTCATCTCTGACGAAAGCACTCGCGTCAATCGATGGCTGATTGGAGCAAAGTGCCCGTTTACTTTCACCCTGACATCCAAGTCCAGAACAAGTCGAGCCGTTAAAAAGAAAACTCCAAATGGTCACTTTGCTTTGAAAACCTCTCCCTCGCGTCCTCTCTGTGTGGTATTTTCCCTCCCATTAGCTGCTGTCACCTCTCGGCTCTGTTAAAGTCTGTGGTATTGATCTGTTGTGGGCCAGAAGCTCAGAGATGAGTCTTAACCCTCAGACTTTGGTTTAGTTAAGATGGGACCACCTGAGAAAGTGTGTGTCTGTTCGCTTATTTATTACAGCAAATGACATAATTTATTTACAGCCGTTTAGAGCTCATAGGTTCATCAGAAAGCGAGACTGCCTTTGGGGTCAGGCTCCGCGGTTTAGTGAGGTCACCTTCTGAGCCCAATGAGAACTCTTAATGATATCAAATGATATAGCAGTGATCTATTTTACTAAAGAGATCACTGATAAAAAGATATTTCAGAGTTTAATATGCGTTCCTTTAACTCAGATGTTTTAACCAAAAGGGCACAAAAATAATTTTTCTGTTTTTGTTTCCTGCTGAATTGTCTGTTTAGATCTAAAATCTGGCCGCTTCCTCTTAAAGTTTCTTAACCTGTTAACCTTCATAGCACGTGTCATCTCACACACAAATGCACGCACTCCTTCAAACGCAAGTTTACAAGAGCTTTATTCACAGTCTGCAGAAAGATCAGAAGAGCTTTTTGTAAATAGTTCCTGTAAATAAATTTGATTTCCTCGTGTAGGAGGAGAGGAATGAGGGGTACCGGGGTGGGGGCTGTAAGTGTGAGGGGGGGTTAACTTTAATTTTAGATGGTAAACTCTACTTTTCTGAATCTGATTCTATTTTTCATTTTGTAAGCCTTTTCTCCCAGTTGTGTTGATTGTTTTGGACAGATTGACAGAAGGTTTCTGCAGGAAAACTTGATCTTTGTACCAATTTGCAGACTTGTCTTTGGTTACATGTATATAATTAAAAAAATAATAAAAGTTGCTACTTTCAGTAATTTCTAGACTTTGTGTTTGCTGTCATTTTATTAATAATTAAATACATATTTTAGGATTGATGATAAATGACCTACACTTGAATAGCTAGTGTACAGTGTATCATTCATCTATTCACACACGGTGGTGACAGCTGCCCTGGGGCACGCTGACAGAGGGTTCTTAAAATTTGGGGTCAGTGCCCATACCAGAATTTTTATCTCTCAATTTATGAATTGTTTTCATATGAAGTCAATTTTAAATAGATGAAAAATTGGGTTTGAAAGTAAATGGTCATGTGTTACCATTTATTTACAGTGAGCAAAAAAGCAAGTAACTATTGAAAAAAATATACATTTTAAACGTTTCAAATGTCCCACATCTTCTGATTATCTGCTCCTCTTGGAGATCCGGACCTCCACATCAGGACCCCCTGTGGTCCCCGAGGAGCGCTCTGGTTCTGGAGCTCCACACGCGTCTTCCTGGAGCAGCTCGGTCAGGGTGGTGATGTAAATCTGTGCCATCTGAAGAGTCTCGGATTTGGAGAGCTTCTTATCGCTCTCCAGGTTCGGGATGACGCTCCGGAGCCGGTCGAAGGCGACATTTAGTCCGAGCATCCTCCTCCTCTCCCGTGCGTTAGCGGCCAGGCGCCTGCGCCTCTGCGCACGCTCCAGGGCGCACTGGTCCGGCTGAAGGTAGTGCAGCTCTCCACCGGAGGGGCCCAGTCGGATCTCCACGATGGAGCATGGAGGGTCACAGAAGTTGCGGACGTCCCTTGAGCGCTCTGCGTCGAGTTCCTCCCGTGCTCGGTTCCGCTGCAGCAGGGCGTGGAGGTCCGCCGGTCCCCCGGGGCCTTCTGCCCCCACAGGTACCGCAGAGATGAAGGGCTCAAACAGGCTTTTACGCGGCGGCATCGCTCCTCTACCGCGGAACCAAAACGTGCAGTTCTGCAGGTGTGGCACAAGTTCAAACTTCTGAACATGTTAGGGCGAATATATGGACGGGAGATCCACGGACACGCGCATTGCGTGCTCCGGGGGCGTGGTGAAGGTCGTGTGCTGCTTAATGAACAGAGCCAATGTCTCTGCGGGAGGTCCATTAACCAAGTTCATCAAAAAAGGATTAGAAGCGACTCAGTGAACCACTCTGGGCCGAAGCGAAGAGGTGTCCGAGGATGGGAGGAGGCCTGAAGGTGGGAAGCAGGAATGGAGACTGGAATGAAGTTTGGAAACATCAAGGATGCATGCGCATGAATACGTTAGAGGGCAGGAGACGAGGAGGAGGCTAAGGAAGGAGGGATGATAATATCAGGAGGATGCAAGAGGCAGAATGTACATCGACACCAGTGCTCTGTTAAAATCGTTTTATTTAAGGAACTTTCATTTATATTTGTTGATCGTTGTGTCAAACATTTTTACACCTAGAAATATGAGAATTTTTCTTTAAATGTTGAAATGCAACCAGAATAATACTTTATTTGATTTTGTAGTTTTTTTTATTTACAAGAGGGCCTTCTTAGATCCTTCAGTAGTTTTCAGACACTTTTTTAACAGTTTTAGTTTGTCTCGATAGGTCAGAGGTTCAGGTGCATTCTTCTGTAGCATCATTGTGTCAAGGTTGTGTGTGAGTGAGTGAGTGAGAGAGAGAGAGAGAGAGAGAGAGAGAGAGAGAGAGAGAGAGAGAGAGAGAGAGAGAGTTGTATGTCTATAGGCTGTGGTGTGTGTGTGCAGCTCATCAGATTGTCCATCTTGTTTTTAGTTAATTAAAAGTGCAGCAGCATCTTGTGGTGAGACCTGATGATGAGTGACAGGAACCGGCCTCCTCTAATGGGACTTCTGAATCTGCTCTGGGTGCTGTGTGCCAGAGCTCTGTCGGCCTGGGCCGAGTCTTTACAGACATCTCAGCATGGTTCTGAGCTGGGACACACATGGAGCATAATGGACTCCTTCTGGCCTTGCAGACCTTCTCAGTCAGAGAGCTTCTTTCATAATGCAGATCTGGAGCGCGTGGAGTAGGGGTGGGTTGGCTTCATGATCTGCTCGTTGGCACGCTCCACTTTATTAAACCCAATGAAATGGCTCATTGAAGCCAGCAGGCGGACACAAACGGCAGATCAAACCCTCACAGATGACACCCACACACCACCCTTGGGTTCTTTAAAGGTCCAGCTGGTTCTGATTGTAAAACTTTAAATAGGCTACACACAGGATGGATTTGCCATCGGGTTAGGACTGGAACCAAACAACATGCATTTTATTCTGTTATTTCATCTAAAGCCACTGATCTGAGTTAAATGTTGTGTTTTATCTGTTAACGTTTGGGTTCAGCTCAAACCCAATAGCTGTTCTGTTCTGGAAATGAAGCAGACCCGGTCAGATGCTTTGGTTCAGTTGTTTACTCGCTCTGCTTTATTAAATCCAATGAAATGGCTCATTGGAGCCGGTGAACAGACACGGGCCACGGATCAAACCTTCTCCTCTGAGGCTGAAAGGAAACACAACAGCACTTTCACTTCCTGGTGACGCGTTTCCAAACCCAAGTTCTGCTGCTCACACAACACAGATCTAAAATCCACCGCAGGTAACATTTAACCATAAAGTGAAACAGAAAATTCTGATCAAACCTTTGGGCTCCTCACTACCTTTTCTATGAGTGGACTTTGAAAGGACATTATCAGATAAGGGAAATCAAGCTGGTTATGAGCGTTTTTAATTGTTATCAAACATGAAGTCATTAATGAACTATTTTAATATAACCTCGTGGATCTGAGTATATCTATAGTCTTATCTATGCAAACTTTATTTGTTCTTTTTGTTCCCAAAATAAAAATAAAAGTGTCATATATTATGCACACACATTTGTAGAAACGTTTTAAGATGTCGATTTTGTGGCTTTATACAAATTCATCTGGTAGTTATTTTAAAACTGTCTCATTCAGTTGTAAATGTTGCTGTCGTAGTTCAAACTCATGATCAGCAGCAGGAGATATGCTTCTTTCAATCAGTTATGGGGAATAATTATTTAAATGTACTATATTTGCTTTTTCGGTTTAAATAATCCACACCAGATTAAGTTTTAGTGAAAATCAGACACTAATCCCTACAAAGTTGACAAAATGGGGAGGACGAAGGCTTCGATCACATTCTCCGATCACATTCTCCAATTACCACCCTCCTTTTGGGGTCCTGCCCCAGGGCTCCTGCAGAGAGCTTTTATCCAACATCTCTCGTAGAGTTGGAGAAGGTGGTCGATAGTCTGAAACCATCTGGCTCTGTATTGGACGCAATCCCTGCTAAACTTCTAAAAGAAGTTTTTCCAGTTGTGTCTCCATGTTCTAGAAATGATAAATAGCAGTCAACTATGGGTGAAGTTCCCAGCTCTTTTAAACATGCAGTAGTGCGCCCTCTGCTGAAGAAAGCTGGCCTAGATTCGTCGAACATGTCAAACTATAAGCCTGTTTCCACACTGTCTTTCTTAGCTAAAAACTTGTGTATGCCCAAATGATGTCCTTTCTACATGAAAATGAGATACTAAAGATTTTTCAGTCTGGGTTTTAAGTCTCTCCACAGTACAGAATCAGCCCTGTTGATGGTTTTGAATGATATCCTGATGGCAAACAATTCTGGGGAGGCTGTGATTTTAGTATTCTTGGACTTGACTGCTGCATTTGACACTGTAGACCACGATATCCTGATTGGTCGACTGGAGCACTGGGTGGGAATATCAGGCTTAGCACTCCAGTGGATAAAATCTTACCTGTCAGGGAGGAATTTTTGTAAGACTGGGGGACTGTCTGATACTGCTGATTTGCAATGTGGAGTGCCTCAGGGATCAGTCCTGGCACCTCTCCTCTTTTCCCTCTATCTGCTGCCGCTGGGTGACTTGTTTCGTCGGCACAACATCAAGTTTCACCTGTATGCGGATGACTGTCAAATCTATTTACCAGTATCATGCAATAATTCAAGTTCTTTTAAACCAATCTTGGACTGCTCGGAGGAGGTCAAGTTATGGATGGCTCAGAGTTTTTTGTTCTTTAACCAGAATAAAACTGAGACTATCCTGTTTGGCCCGATAAACAAAAATTGATGTGCCCAAGGGATTGACTGTCCTTTATTAGCACCTTTTGAGAAGGCTGTGGTCACCAACCTGGGGGTGAAGTTGGATGTAGAGCTAACACTGGACAGCAAGGTCAATGTAACAATAAGATCCCGTTATTTCCCTCTCAGGAGAATAGCTATTAAGCCGTTTCTTTCACGTAAACATCTGGAAACTGTCATCCACGCCTTCATTACCACCAGACTGGACTACTGTAACTCGCTTTATGCAGGCATCAAGCAGGCCTTCACAGCGAAACTGCAGAAGGTCCAAAATGCGGCAGCCAGGTCCTGGTACCAGGAGATCTGAACACATCACACCCGTCTTGGCATCCCTACACTGGCTTCCAGTCTCTTTTAGAATTTTGTTTAAAGTTCTGGTGTTTGCTTTTAAATGTTTAAATGAGTTGGCTCCACGTTATCTATCGGATTGGATCCATCCTTATGTTCCCGCAAGGAACCTTCGATCAGCACAGCAAGGACCGTTGGTCGTTCCCAAACACAGACTGAAATCTCGAGGGGGTCGTTCTTTCTCGGTGCTGGGGCAGAGGCTCTGGAATGAGCTACCTACATGGGTTAAACAGACCACCACCCTCGGCAAGTTTAAGAGCCAGCTGAAAACACACTTTTATTCTTTAGCTTTTACTCAAGAAGAGTCTCGTTAATGGATGGCTTTGCACTTTTTTGCTGCCACACCTAGATTTATGTACATGTTTTTGTTGGTTTTTAAATGGTTTTATATGTTTTTATTTTTTATGTTCATTTCTGCTGTGCAGCGCTTTGTTTGGTCCTTGGGCCATGTGAAGGCACTATATAAATAAAGTTTAGTAATAGTAGTAGTACAAACCTGCGTTAAGCCCATGTAGGAGTCATATCAACACTTTTTGGGCCAATTAAAGCTGCTAAAAATGAGAGGTTGTGTGAAATACTCACTGTTTCTGTAGGATACAGTGAGCAAAATAAATAAATGTTAAAAACACCACCAGGTACTCCAAATTAAAATCTAACTTTGTTCTGTTACCCAGCATGAGGCCCAACATTGTTTCTTTTTGAAGTTGAAGCATTTGCACGTCTTGTTCCCCAAAAACTTTTGCTCCAAACATCACCAAAAGGACAGAAAGTAAAATCCCTCGAGAGGACAGGAAGTGTTTGATTCAGTAAAAACGACTTCAAGATCATCTCACAGACCATAAAGACAAGGTGGAAGTTTCAGACGAGCAAGAAAGAGTCACGAGACAATCAGAGTGCTCGGAGGAAGAGCGACAGCTGACCGACGGCTCGATGAATCCGAGCCACAAAAGCTCTTTGAACAGAAAACACACTCAGATCAATAATCAGGCAGCCAAACACACGGAAGAATGATCACACACACACACACACACACACACACACACACACACACACACACACACACACACACACACACACACACACACACACACACACACACACACACACACACACACACACACACACACACACACACACACACACACACACACACACACACACACACACACACACACACACACACACACACCTCCTTCCTCTTTGCATATCTGATTATCAGAACCAGGTTTGGGTTTAATTTAACATCTGATCAGCTGATTATTGATCAGAACGACTGTGTGTGATCAAGTGTTTCACCGCACTGAGGAAAGTTCTGCCCAGTGGTTCGGTTCTGATCACTTTCACTGAAACACATCTGTATTATGTCTCATCCGTACTTTTAAAACCTGTTTTTCTCTGTGATTTTTAAATGAATCGTTTTGCTCTGACTGGAGCAGAACTGAATGGATCCTGTTATATAGAGGTTCAAATTTGAGTTTGTTATTGAGACACAAAACAATCCATGGATGTACATGTGATGGGACAGACAGTTCCGGTCAGGTCCCATCTCAGTAATGCGGCAGGTGGCTCGCATTAGACGGATAAGCGGGGCAGGGTGAGCCATCCAGTAAAAGGCAGCTGTCCGCTCCTCCGGCAGGACCACTCTTGTGTGACACTTCAGGTGCTAGTGGGTGTTGAGACTCTAACTACAAGCAGCGATTGTAGGTACTCTCCCTCCTGTGTTGCCTGTGCGGCCTTAGCTAATGCTCGTTGCTCTATCTTAAAGTGTTTGGTATCGTGTGATCGCAGACTGGAGCTGCATCTGCTGTTACAGCGTTAAACTGCACTCAGAGACTCCTAATCAGATCTCGGCCCGTGGGTGTGTGGCAGCCGTATCAAGGCTGATCTGACTCAGCCGCGCTACGACCGTAAGTCTTTGCCTCTGATTGGGGAGGATTGTCCAGGCGGGACCATGCCAGTTTGTTTGTTTGCAGTGTGGCTTCCTGTCTGTGTGCCGAGAGCCGCTATTCCATTCAGCTTTGCCCGCAGCGGCGCCATCCAGAGTAGCGGAGGGGGGGCTTAATCCAGGGTGGCGTTGTTTTAGCTCTTTTTATCATTAAATTATTTATGGCTACATTTCATTCTT